CCCTCTCTCACTCTCCCCCATACCAAGATACCCCCACCAAGCTGTTGGCGGGAGGGGGAAAGAAGTCCGGGAATTCACTGCTTGGCCTCATGGGGGTTGAGGCGTCCAGCTTGGTCCAATCACTGAAGAGGAGCTTGTAATCTCTGATAATTATCTTGTTGTCCCTTCTCCCCCCCTGTCCCCCGTTTCCCCCTTGCCATTCCACCTTTACTATCCTCCCCCCCGTTTCCCCCCCAAGCCAACTTTTGCAAAAGTCTTTTATCCTTTGCTTTATTTCATTCTCCGTGGTAATATGTTCGATCTGTGTTTTGAGTTTCTCCCATCTTGCAGTTATATGTTTGTGAATCCGTTGTTGTATGCGTTCTGTAAACTATGGCCCTTCCAACCGCACTCCTTCCATTTCATATGTGCAGCGGCGCCTCCAGAGTGCCCACAGTACTGCCCTGCGTCCTTGCTGAAAGATGTTGAGGGTGAATTCATCCTGCTGTTCGAAAGGCCATTTTTCAAGTAACAGGGCTTTCCAGTCCCATGGCCAGGGCACCCCTGTTTCTAGCTGTTCCCATACTCTGTCCCACTAGCGCCAAAGCCAAACCGCCCCGGGGCATTGCAGGAAGATGTGTTCCATTGTTTCATGTCTTTTTCTTGATGGGAAAACATTAGAGCATAGCCTGCACCAGGGGAGCGCAAGTCCTCTCTGCTCCAGGGTTGTCCTGTCGATCAACCAGTTATTGGTTGGTAGGCAGCGGTGTTCCATCTGCCATTGCAAGGAGGCCAAATTTGCGGGTTTCTTTTTGGTTAACTGGAACCACTTCACGTCCCTTAGCGATTCCTTACTGATGTTCAAGTGTTTCATCCACCTCTCTTCCACCAGCTCCCTCAGGTTGATTTTTGTCCGAAGAAGTCTGTATGTTGCTTTGACTGATAAGCTGTGCAACATTTTGTTGCCAGGTTTGCCCCTCCCGGTACCGGGCTTGCCTCTGCTTGTTGTGCCCGTCCAATCCCATTCCAAGGGGTCCAGGGGTAGGAGGGATATCGGCGTGTCTGGGGAGAAAGCCACCCACTCATCCCCCTCTTGCAGCACCCTGATCCTCGAGAGGTTATCCTTCTCGAGAAGCTGTATCTACTCTGGATCGGCCCTTTGGAGGATGTTTTCATTTCCGACTTGGAATGTGTCCACCTCCACCAGTCTGGTTGGGTCGCAGCTCACCACCTTACCCACTTCCCCTTGGCGCCCCCTAATTGCCACCCAATTGGACTCTTGTAGTGAGGGTCCTTTTCTCAAAATTTTCCACCAGTTCAGGGGGACGCATTCTATCAGATTTTCCATTGCCTGTTCTGGTCTGTTGCAGTATCTCAATTTTTCCTTGAGTCTCTCTCTTGTAATCCAGTCCCTCCTATTTACGTCCCAGATGTCCCTGATTCTCATGACCCCCCTTTTAACCCATCCCTTCCAAGGGGAATCCATGCAGTGCAGCATTTGACCCCTTAAGTTGGTTATTCTTCTGTTCCCAAACAATGGCTGCCGTATCACCTCCTAAGGCTGAAGTACTATCTCAACCAATTTTCGAAAACCCCCACATTCGATCTCAGGATGGGGAATGGATTAAGGCTGACACTGCAACCCACAGTTTCGGCCGAAACTGAATTGAGAGAGGGGTGCTTCGAATAGCTGATATATGGGACGAACTGACAGGTGACTGGATTACAGATTCGGCTCTCAGACAGAAGTTAGGACAGCTGAGGAAAATCGAAGAGAAGAAAATCATGATCTTAGAGGCCATCCCTGTTGCTTGGGCTAACATTCTTTCCTCCTCAACAGTGGACCCACCAAGCACATGGTTTGTAAGTTTGGACACTGATGACTCCCTCATTTGGAAGCTGATTGACATCCAACCAGATGGTAAACGTACCTTTCAGGGCTGGCAAAGAAGAGATAATAGTACCTCACTCTTTCAAGTAGAAGACTCTACCCCTGCAGTAGGTACTTGCTTCAAACAGATTCGGGTGACGGAATATACAGATCCAAAAGGCACCACCTCAGTTTGTCTGTTTGCCCAAGGGAAACCTGTTACAACGCTTAAGCTTGACCCACATGCATGGGAATGGAGAGCTAAAGGAAAAAATGGTGAAAATCTTCGTCTGATAGAATACACCCAACACATAGGATATAATCTGTCACTTCCAACGAAAGATACACTTGCTGTTTCAAGAGGCCGATGGACTCCAATTTTCCCAGACTGTGACCCAGTTAAATTATCTTTAATGATAACGAGATGCTGGGAACAGCTGAAAAACATCCCGAACCAGAGACAGGCAGCAACACTTTGGTTAATATCATTGGCGGCCACTCCTACGGCTATCTGGCTGATTCAACACGGTATGGCAATTGACACTAAATGTGTTCGTTGCCTCTGGGCTTTTGAATCACTCTCCCATTTGTGGTGGGACTGCCTAGACTCGAACAGAATCTGGACATGGTGGATAAAACATTGGGAAAGTTTCTCAGATAGATCTGTGAAATGGGATAAATTCTGGGTGTTAATTGGAGGTGTCCTTGAAGGGCTGAGTTTACATGAAGGTTGGGGCTACATCGCCCAAACTGCCAGAGCAGTGATATGTGCGGTCATTTGGCACGAAAGAAACGACAAAGTATTCAATGGGACAGACTGGACAAACAAACAGATTCGGAGTGAGATCTTTCAAGGCATCAGAAGATCCATACTAGCGGATTGGAGAAGAAAGGTGATCAAAGCAGACAATACTGCAGCCGGCATTAATTGGTTTTCTCGAACCTGGTGCTTGAACAGTACATTGGCTTCTTTGGAGGAGCAGGACAAAATTGTCCTAGGCAAGTGGCTGTTCAGTTCATAGTTATGTAGGAAGTAGAAGTTCAATGGTTTTGCTGATTTCTCTTCGCCTTATATATCTGTCCTATCCTCCCTACTGATATTTAATCTTTAAGGTATTAGGTGATGCTGCAAAGTTGTAGTTTTAACCTGCACACTCGGTTATGGCCCGGGTCACAGGAGACAGGCAGACGGTGTAAAGAGTGGAGGGAGTGTGAATTGACACAAGGGCTCCTTGGAGGACCCCGCCCCGCCATTAGGGGTTTTTAGTTAGGACAGTAGTCTTTAGGATAGATAGGGTCTTCTCACAGACCTAGAATAGCACAGTAGAACGTATAGGGTGAAAACACACTTTCTGGTTTGTGAGGTATTCCTGCCCGAGCAGGGAACTTTATTCAGTAGTAAGATCTTAGAATAGCTGAGCAATGAGGTTGCCTTTTTGTTTGGTTTGAGGCCGTGAGGCACTTATTGGGTTTTTGAGGTTTTGCTTATTTCTTTGGTTTGTGTGGTTTTTTCAGGCCTGAGGCGTACTTTTGTTTCCAGGGTCGGCGGGTATCAGGACAGCGGTCTGGTGTTGGCCATTTCTGTCGCTGGATCTCACCCCGACACCTACAGCTATATTTTCTGCTACTTTCCGGGTTGTTTGTTGAGGATTCCCGGCCTCTCTTTTGTGTGCGAAATCAAATGAGCTGAGCCTTCCTTGTAAATAAAAAAAAAAAAAAAAAAAAAAAAAAAAGTTCGCATGACCCTTTTCGTATACCACACAGGACAGTCTTTCGAGCAATTCTTTCTTTCTTGGGGTACCTTCGGCGCAGTCACCAAAACAGTTTGAAAATGCACTTCAGGCAATCCTGCGAACACATCACATCCCCACGTGACCCCACCGGCCCCGAAACCCACGTTATATACATTCACCATTACCCGCCCTTTTGCCTCAACATCAACTGCATTTTCAAACTCAAACCCTGACTGCGCCCTAGTTTTCTCTTCTTTCTTTTTTTCTTTCTTCAAACGAGAACTGAGTTAAGGTCAGTCGACGACGTCTTCCCCCCTTTTGAGTATAATACGCTCATTATCTTTCATTATCTTTATACCTTTATTGACGTCGTCGACTGACCCTTTGGAGTATAATACGGTCATTATCTTTCATTATCTTTATACCTTGGTTTGCAAGTTGCCTCAAACACGCCTTGGATGCCGTTGGGTTGCATTCAAAGGGAGAGGTATAGAACACCGATGATTATGCAGGTCACAAGACATGTGTAGATACGTGAAGTGAAAGCGTGCACTCTTCTTCTGCGATCAGCATAGTCGGAGTTAGAACGCTATTTGATTTGCTATCGCATATCAGACATGGAGTTGTTCTCCATATAAATGTTTACATGGATGTCACAATATGCATGCACGCCTCACGCTTAGTATGGACTCACTGTGCTTCCATGTCTTCTTCTTTTTCCATTGTCTTCTTTTCAATGTAAACAACTTGGATGATTTCTCCATTTGTCCCTGTCATCCTCCTTCGTGCTGTGATCCATTTGTGCCTGTTTGGCGGTTAATGGTATGCAAGTTAGGTTTTGGGGATAATTGGTAGAAAGCGGCCGCGCCAAAACCCTTTCGGTTTTGGGCGCCCAAAGTTCGGCCGTTTGGTACTACCAGCCCAATGTCTTCCATGTGGGGTACTACAGGCCCCACACGTGGCTCCAAGGGCCCTACCGGATCATGAATCTGGCACATAAGCAGCGCCAGATTCATACATTGTGGTTTTAACGCTTGTCTTTTCTTCATTTTTCTGTTCCGTCTTTTCTAGGCTCTCAGATTCTTGAATTCTATAATCCGTGACGCCGACCGCAGGGTGTCCCTTACATGACTTCTGTTATCTTAACGAGGTAAGCGGCAGGTCTTTGGAATCGAGGCAATTTGGGAGGCCAGCAGGCGAGTGAGCCAGACAGCTAGCAGGCTGGCAGGCCTGCCAGCGCAAAGAGAGGGAAGGGAGGGAGGGAGAGAGAGAGAGAGAGGAAAAAAAAGGGGGAGAGAGAGAGAGAGAGAGAGAGAGAGAGAGAGAGAGAGAGAGAGAGCTCGACGGTTGTTATGTGGCGCAGAGATTCCTTTGACAGTCTATCCAGCAGACAGGAGCGGTGAGGGTGAAGGTGTCAGGCGAGTCAGGGAATCAGAGAAGGAACCGCGTAAGGGCGAGGATTGCTGTTTGTCGTTAGCCAGCCCCAGAGTCGTTTGATCGAAAGGGATACACCATGGAAAACAATCCTGTCATTGGCATAGATCTCGGCACCTCCTACTGCTGCGTTGCTGTATTTTTCGACACGGAGCGGATCCAGATCGTTCCAAATGACGTGGGCAGCAAGATAACCCCCTCCTACGTGGCGTTCTCTGAAAAGGATGGTTGTCTGGTGGGGGGGGCTGCGAAGAAACACGGGTTGGAGTATCCGGAGCAGTGCGTATTCGAGGTCAAGCGGCTGATGGGCCGATCTTTCAGCGATCCAACACTCCATCTGGAAGCAAAGAGAATGCCCTTCATGCTGTCGTCAGGCCCACTGGGTGATGTGGTTGTTGATATCTCTGAGAAGAAATTTCGACCTGAAGACATTTCCGCCTTTTTGCTGAAGGAGATGAAGAGGATGGCTGAGGACTACGCCAATTTCCGGCCGATTAGAGATGCGGTCCTCACTGTACCAGCGCGCTTCAATTACCGTCAGAGGAAGGCTACGATGGCTGCAGCAGCCCAAGCCGGATTGAATGTGTTACGACTGATGAGCGAGCCGACGGCCGCCGCGCTGGCGTACGGCCATGAAAGCATGAGAGGGAGCGGGCGGCAAGAGAGGAAAGTCCTCGTCTTCGACATGGGCGGGGAATCGCTGAACGTGTCTGTTGTCGGCGTGAAGGTAGGGTCTCAAAACGATTTCAGCTTTGTAGTGAAGACAGGTATTCGAGAGTCTCAGCTAGGCGGTGCGGAGATAGACGAACGGCTGTTTTACCGTGTGGAGGGGCAGCTCCGACGTCACCCTCAAGGGAAGGATGTGGGGTTCAAGCCGCTCGTTGCGCTCAAGCCAAGGATTCGCGCAAAGCTGAACCAGCTTGTCGTGCAGGCCAAGCACGATCTGTCCGTCAAAACCGAGACACAGATCGACCTTGATTGCGGTGGTGAAGATATCCTCAGCTTAAGATTATCCCGAGTCGACTTCGAGAAACGTAACCAAGAGTTGTTTTTAAAGTGCGTGTTGATCGTCATGCGTGCTCTTCGTGATGCGAAGATCGGGAAGGGCGAGATCTCGGAGGTGCTCCTGGCAGGCGGATCCACAAGGATCCCGGCGGTGCAGAAGAATCTCACCGCATTCTTCGGCAAGCCGCCACTCAAGTCGTTCAACCCCGATGAGGCTGTGGCATTCGGAGCTGCCGTAATGGCGGGACAGCTGGCCAGAAGGGACAAGTGCAAACAGGCACCCACCATATCCGTACGCCATCATGATGACATTGTGACGTCTGTGAGCATCGGGGTCGACACGAAATTTGGGATTATGCGTGTCGTTATCCCCAGAAACTCCCTCCTTCCAGCCAATGGAACTGCGGAGTACGGCTTACCAGACGGCGAGGGTGAAGCTCGAGTCAAGTTGTATGAGGGTGAAAGTGCCCTGTGTGCAAATAACTTGCCTCTGGGGGAGCTCGCTCTGGACGGCTTCACGGTTGGTTCAGCAACCTTTGGTGCTTCCGCGCGGGTGGTCATCGAAATTGATGCCGACGGAATTCTTCATGCGACATTACAGGCTACGGCAAATCATGAGGAAATTGGGAGAAAGGTGGGGACCACAGTTAAGACTTGATATTAAGGACGTCGTTGTGCGGTCCTCGGATGCGGCGGGGGAAACCGATTGGTACACGGCAGAAGCAAAAGCGGAGGACGTCAGGATCTGGGAGGCAAGAGAGTCGATGAATGCCGTGTGGATGCTCATTGGAAAGTTGAGAGATCAGCTTTCATGCCGCGAGTGCCATGGTGATCTGGAGAAGCATGTGAATGAGACCATGGCATGGTATATGGGGCTCGAGGAACTCCCGTCCAAGCGGGAGTGCGATAAGAGATACGAAGAGCTGGAAAGCCTGGCAAAGGTTCATAGCCTTGACGTGGTCTAGTCAGTAACACAGTCAGACACTGAGAGACATAAAGCCCCTTGCAAAGACCTCGACGTGTACGACGTAATTTCTGCCTGACCCACGCAGGCAGGCCTTCGTGCTACAACTCAGCCCGTGCATTCAATCTAGGACGCAATTTTCGTGCAGTTATTATTGGTGAAGGCTGCACAGCCATTTTAAATTTCGTGGTTTTTCTCGTGCTTCTACGGTGTTTGCTGGGTGGGCAGTTTTTCCTTTCTTTTTTCTTCTTTCTTCTTTCTTCTTCCTTCTTCCTGCTGCGATGGTACTGTCAGCTTAGGGCCTCGTTCCACACCACTTACGAATCCTTCCATTGTAAGCGTGCCCTCACTGGGCCAGAGTGATTAATTTACCCTAACATAGTCAGGGCCAAGAGGACCGGGCTCACCACTTGGACCCATTCGCTCGATGGGGCAGTCAGTGCGCCTGCTCAGGCCGGTATCCCCGGAACTCTGCTGATCCTGATTCGGAGAGCAAGAGCTGTACATGGAGAGCAAGAGCTGTAATTGAACAGTCCCCGGGGAAGTCTGTGCGCCAAGGGTAGAGTTCTTTCAGTGTACTGGACGGGCTACTGGTAGGGCGCTTCAGGCAAGAGGGAGAACAGGAACCAAGTCACTCGAGCACAGGCGAGATGCCCGAACTCCCGAAGCCGCTCTCGGGAAAAGGGAAGAGAGAAGACGGTTAGTTATAAAGATACTGCTAATCCTTCCCGTGGCTTTTTGTGGGCGCTGGGGGAGAGGGGGGGAGGGAGGGAGCGAAATTTAATTTCAAGGAACAGCCAGAAGAGGTGTCTATGGTGGAGGCACAGCTACGCTTTTCCGTTTCTTTCGAAGAAAAAGACGACGATCATGGAACTCACCGGCCCGATGTAATTCATAATTGTTTGGTGTTTTTGTTTTCTTTTATCAATAGAATTGTTTGGTTCTGTTCTTTTTTTTTTTTTTTAAGTTTGGTTCTGTTCATAAGACGTAGAACGCCCGGAAATCATTAGCTGTGTTTGGGGCAATTTTTAGTTTGGATACAACTGTCATGACCCGTGGCCATGTCCCACTTCTCGAGGTTTTGTTCTGCTTTCGAGTGTACACGGCTCCTTGCCATCCGATCTGAAAATGTCAACGGCCCTACTGTAGTGTGACCACGTTGGAAAATACACGAAACATAAACTAAACCCCCCGGGTTTCTATTCGGGTGAACGGAAGTAGTATTGAATAACAGCGTAATCAGCATCCAGAATTGGAATTATTTAACTTCGAGTCGAGTTTCTCTTCCTCTTTCTCTTCCTCTTCCTCTTCCTCTTCCTCTTCCTCTTTTTCTTCTCGGCTTACCTGGTGGCCGCTTGCTCTGCCCTGAGCGAGTTTGCTGATGAACGTTCTGGGCAACATGGCTAAGATGATTGCTTGCCTTAAGGTAGTTTTTATCGTTTCATAGAGTACTCACATTAGATTTTTTTTTTTATTTTTTTTTTCACATTAGATATTTCCTAGATGTACCTGACCATTATTATGGCCCGATTTGGATGTATCATTTATTATTATTTTTTTTTTTTACTTTTTGAAATTTTAAACGATTTTTTTTTTTTTTTTTTTTTTCAACAAATTTAGGCTCCGGTCTATTCGTGGGGAGGAAGCCCGTCTCTGGTCGATTTGGATGTATCTGCTCGCAATATGGTCCAAAATAAGTATAGGAAGACCTAGTGTGAGTATGCTCTAAGGTATCTCCTGCGGATCCAGGACAGAGCAGAGTATTGAAACTGACAGACAAGTAGATTGTTCCTTGTTCTTTTTTTTTTGGGAAAATTTGTCAATATAGGGTTTCTGGAAATCCCTAATTTTCTTGGCGAATGGCACACGGGCGAGGCTGTGCCTGGGGAGCGGGTTGAGGCCAGTTGGCCCCGAAGTGCAGAGGACTTCTTCTATGCTTTGGGCGCTGGGCCCGATTGTAAAAAGATTCCAACTTGTAGGCGGTTTTGTGAAAACGGCAGCAGCCTTGATGCATACCGGCCTCAGTCAATTCTTATTCTTTCTTTTCTTTTTTTTTTCCCTCTCTTTCCCTTCCTCTCTTTCTTTTTTTTTTGGGGGGGGGGTAACTTGGGCGCAGTCACGAAAACAGTTTGTAATTGCACTTCACGCAATCCCGTGAATACAACACACCCCCACGCCACCCCACCGGACCCGAAACGTAGGTCATATACATTCATTATTACCGGCTCTTTTGCCTCAAGTGCAATTACAAACTCAAACCCTGACTGCGCCCTAGTTTTCTCTTTTTTATTTCCTCTTATTTAAAAGGTCCGTGGTGTTGTAGAGGTTGGTTTCTGGACCCATGACAGGTACCTATCTACAGTCAGCAACTAATTTATGGCATGCAGACCATCCTATCTTGGAGGATCCCCCTCAAACAGCCTCTACTGCAGGTTCTCTCTCTTTCTCTTTCTTTTTCTCCTTTTATATGGCAACGGCCTTGCAGTTTGAAGTATAGTCTTCGAACTGACCGCTCTCAGGTAAATTTTATTTTATTTTATTTTATTTTATTTTATTTTTTTATTTTATTTTTTTACCCGAGCGGCTCCATCTATTGGTGGGGAGCTGCACCTGCTGGAAACCGGGTCCAGCGTCCCTGAACATGATTTTTTATCAGCGACTGCCTGCCAGCATTGATTACCCTGATTACTCTCAGGTAAATTCAGAGTTTCTCATGTTGTTGCATCTGGATTCGAACCCTGGTCTGTATATCAACAGTTCATGGGTGTACCAACAACTGACATAGAACCGTCGTGCCCCAGGCAATTCAGAGGGCTCCATATTGTGTTTGCAATGGCTCCTTATGTATGATTAATATCCGCTTTGTCCAGAGAATTATCTCGTCGACCTTTTTTATTATTATAAATGTTTCAAGTTCAAGGCTATTTAGGTAGGACAATCAAGTGTTCCCCAGCTCAAGGTGATTGCTTTTGTAATTGACTTGCATGCTGTGTTGCCAGAGTGGCCCAGGACCACTTGCCTGGCCGGGTGAAACATATATATATGTATATATATGTATATATATATATATATATATATCGTCACAAACAGAACTGCCCGGTAAACCGTAGGCAGAGAGCGAGAAGAGGACAACAAATATATATATATATATTTGACGATATATATATAAAAGATATAGGTTCAGCCTCCGGATGAGTAGATGAAACTTCGACAAAACAGTTTGTCACAGCCCCTCGTTTGTTGTCCTCTTCGCCCTCTCTGCCCGCAGCTCTGTTTGACGATTTATATATACATACACATGGTTACCAGCCCGTACGTACGGAGGCCCCCGGGCCAACCTCCGTACGTTCGGGTGTTCGAGGTCCTGTTTGGGGGCCGAACCCCTACGAACCTGAAGAGGTTCGGACCCCGCCAAAAATTATTTCGGGGCCTAAAAATTATAAGTTTTCTTGAATGTTTTTTTGTGAGTTCTCTATGATGTAAGGTACATGCCTCTAAATTTTGAGAGCATTTTGCTTAGCCAAAAAAAAAAAAAAAAATCGCCAAAGATGTCGGTGTCAAAACGTGCTCACCCACTCACTATTTTGTTTTTTTTCTCTCTTCTCTTTTATTTTTTCATTTTGTTTCGGGGCCTAAGCCATTTTATTACTTTTTTATATTTTTTTTATGCATTTTGTATCATGTGAGATACACATCTATGAATTTTCAGGGAATTTTTACGGAGCCAAAAAAAAATGAAAAATCTCGAAAGATGGAGGTGTTTAAAACATGCCCGCCCACACACTGATTTAATTTTCTCTTCAAATTTTTTATTTTTATTATTATTATTTTCTTTTCCGTATTTGATTTTTATCTCAAATTTGGTAACGAGTTTGGATGTATCTGTGAGGCAAATGTTATTCAGTTTATTTGTCTGCATAACATACCTTTTTTTAAGGTTTTTTCGAGGAT